GCAGCGGAGACGCGCAAAATAGAAGAGGAGCGTAGACGGCAAGAAGAGAGCGAAGGCTTGCGACAACCACAACCAAAGTCCAATGCGAACCAAAGTCAAAAGGAGCAGCAACCAAACACAGCCGAGGTGGCTACTGCACCTCCGGCTGGCGAAGATGGTCCTAGTGATGCGTTGGAAGCCGAGATTCGTGCAATGATGGCGAAAATGCGTGAACTCAACAGCAAAGACCCGAGTCTCCTTGCGCGCATCTGGGAAGAGGAACGAAGAGCAAAACCAAAATCACAGACAATACAGAGCAAGTCTACGCCCCCAGATACTGCACCGCCACCTGCTGCTGCCCAGTCTACACAATCTGCTCATGCTAGCACTCCGCAGTCTGCAAACTCAAGGGAGAACATTTCACATAGAGAAACGATGAACACAAATGTATCTAAGCCGGCTACTCCCGTTGTCGCTCAGGCTGAACCGGTAAGGCGAACTCAGACGCCGGCCAGTCGACCCGCCGGCAACACTGTTTGGCCAGCAGAGAAGAAGGCACATCTAGCAAAAGCAGCCGCAGCATATCTAAATGACTACAACACTTTTCGCAGAATTCTACCTGCTCGCATAATAACTCTACTCAATAGCAACCCTTCTTACATCCAGCTATGTGAGCAGCTTGAGCAGATGGAGTTTAAACTAGATCGTGCAGCCTTTGCTAAATGCTTGCTCACAGCTGTGCCAGATGTAAACTCAAAATCGCGTCAACCTTTACCTCAAGCACCAGCTCCTGTGCAGACACCGCCTGTCCCACCTGCCGTAATGAAGAAGGATATTTCAGCCTCTGTCGCACCTAGCCCACAAAACACGCCAGTTTCAGGCCCATCGGCTCCAGGTCCACCAGCAAGTACAGAACAGTACACGCCATTTCCAAATCACGGCTCACCGGCAGGCCCTTCAGCAAACACACCTGCACCTGCACCTGCACCTGCACCTGCACCAGTCGTCGAGAGGATGCCCATCAAGCCTGAGTTGCGGAAGCCTGCTAATAAAGAAGAGGCTGCCCGAAAGCGCAACCTGAGCGACCTCGTTGATTTAACGCAACTTTCAGAAGACGAGGATATGGGTCCACCACCCAAGAGGCTGGATTCTGGTGCCATGCATATATCTGATCCTCAGGGTACAACGAATGGCGACAAGCAAATGTCGACTTCTATCACCAATGGACCACCGCAGTCTTTTATGCAACAATTACCAGCGCTACCTAACAGCCTTAGATATACCACCTACGTTAAGCCACTAGATCGGAATAAAGCACTACGTCGAAATACTTACAATCCTGCAACAATTGCACGCGATGTCTTGATCGCTTGTGGAAGACACCCGTCTCAGCGTAATCTAAACCAGCATTTAGACCAGCTAAGAACAAGTTTGCCTAATGTCACGATGGAGTCGGACCTCAGCACTATTAGGTGGGATCTGATCGATCCTGGCAATCCACCTCCGGACTACTTCAAGGAGAGAGTCGAAGATCTCACGCAAGATGCAGACGAGGATTCGGGTGATGACGAGAGACCGCGTCCCCGCTCTCCGTCGAATGCGATTGGTGGTGAGGGTGGGGCTCAGGTAAAGGCCCAAGCTTTACCTGAAGCTATCAATCCATTCATCAAGAAGAAGCGACGCGGTCGACCTCCGCGAAACTCTTTACCCGACACCACTGAGCCTGTGAATCAGCCTGCTCCCATGAGTTCAAGTGACCGACCTGCCTCAGGTGCTAGCGGCGTGGGCTATTCGGCATTTCGATCTGCTACACAGTACAACCCTGACGGAACACCAATTCCTAAGAAGAGAGGTCGCCCTGTTGGTTGGAGAAAGGCTATCCATGGATCTGCTACCACGCAGGCTCAAACAAATTCAAATAAAGACACTGGCCTCTTGAATAAGTATCAGCCGCTACAGTCAAGCTCCTTGCGCAATGTGCGCCCAGATGATGCAGCAATTCGTATCGACTCGAGGTCGCCGAGTGTCGTGAACCGTGTCTTTCAGTCGTACAAGTGCAAATGGCTAAACTGCAAAGCAGAGCTACATAACATGGATACCCTGAAGAAACATGTATTCAAAATACACCGTAAAGACACGGTCGGCAACACTTTGAATTGTCTGTGGGATGATTGCGGCCAAGATACCCATTCACCTTCTTTTGACCTGGAGAGCAACTGGCGCAGCCATGTACAGCAGGCGCACTTTGATCCGCTGTTATGGGAGCTTGGCGATGGACCAGCCAGTGGTCTCTCTGGTAAGGAAGATGATCAAAAGAAGAGCTTGGATTGACATGAGAGAAAAGATCTGACAATATGCAATTTAGAATCGCATGACTCTGATGCTTATCTTAGCGATGCGCAAGGTCGACAAGTTACTCCACGCATTACAGTCGACCCCGAGCGCCTAGAGGCGCTTAGTTTGTCTCCACCAGGTTTACTATCACGAGGTCGCGGACGGCCTCCGAAACGCACCCTAGAGCAAGAAGCTCGTGATGCGCACGATAGGCTCGTGTCGCTGAAAATGCGCATAGGAGGGCCGGGCATGGATTGTGGAGGGACAACACTTGTGAACGATAAGCGGCGAAGAGGTCTTATTGATGTCGATGAGACAGAAGAGGAGGTTGTCAACGTGGAGGACTGAACCAAACGACAGTGCTTTGTAGGGTTTATTTAACACTACTCTCTTAGGATTTTTTTCTATAAATACACATATACCCAGTAGGAGCACGATGCTGCATTGTATTGGCAGTGGGCGTGTATCAAGGAGATCGGGAGCCACGCTGTACTTCATGATAGCCAAACAAATCGAGCATTCCGGCGATCATAATAGCTTGAGAACCCAAAGTTATATACGCCTAAACGCCATGCCCTTGGACCAAAAAGCTTCCCTTTTGTGAGACGGGTATCATCTCTAACTCGCAATATGGATGCAATTGCGTGTCTCTTATCAATGGCTAACCATGCTGCACTCTTCATGCTTTGACCTTTGCTCCCGCAGCCCTTGGCTTCTCCTCAACCTTGTGATCGTCGGAGTTGACTTCCAGGAAATGATAGACGACGATGAGCAGCATGGCAGCGCTTCCAAGGAAGATTGCGAGCGAGTAGAGTTGGGAGTCTGTAATCATCTTGAACGTAAACGCGCGTCGAATCGAGCTGGATGGCTAGTGGAAAGGCGTGGGGACGCGCTGCGGAGTTGTTAGTAGCACAAAACAACAAAATAAAAAGATGGCAATGTCTCACAGAAACTAGGCGCAATGCAAGGGCGTAAAAGTCGGGAATGTCGGGGCGGTATTGGTTGCGTACGTAGTGATTGACTATTGGGGCTCATGTCAAGGCCACCTTGAAGCTTCGGGAATGTCGGCGAGGGCCAGGGCTGGCTCTAGCGCAAGGTCCTCCGCCACTTGAAAATCCACCCCACACAGCGTCATTCTCACTTTGACGCCCACAAAGCCCAGGCACCATATCGCCCATCAACCATCTACCATCCACCGTCGCATTTGGCACGAGTCCGTCCCCGAAACTACGTGAACCTACCCAGCGTCCCTCCAACCCTCACCGTCTTTACAAACCAACGCAAACCAAGTAAACATGGCACCCAAGGGCAAGGGCGACCAGCCCAAGGCGAAGAAGGTCGTTGTGGACAAGACCTTTGGTATGAAGAACAAGAAGGGAGGAGCCGCCCAGAAACAGATTGCGCAACTCAAAGCCACGCAAGCATCTGGAGGTACACCGGATGAGAAGCGCAAGGCGGCGGAGAAGGCACAGCGCGAGAAGGAAAAGGCCGCGGCCGAGGCGGCGCGCAAAGAAACCGCTGAGCTCTTTAAGCCAGTGCAAGTTCAGAAGGTTCCATTCGGAACCGATCCCAAGACAGTGCTGTGCCAGTTCTTCAAGAAGGGCAACTGCGAAAAGGGCAAGAAGTGCAAGTTTAGTCACGACCTGGCTGTTGAGCGCAAGACCGAGAAGAAGAGTCTGTATACCGACAGCAGAGACCAGGAGAAGACAGAAGATGAGGAGCGCAAGAAGAAGGACAACATGGACGACTGGGACGAGACCAAGCTACGAGAAGTCGTCCTGAGCAAGCATGGAAACCCCAAAACCACAACAGACAAGGTGTGCAAGTACTTTATCCAGGCTATCGAAGACCAGAAGTATGGTTGGTTCTGGACATGTCCAAATGGCGGAGACAAGTGCTTCTATAAACATTCTCTCCCACCCGGGTAAGTTTAACCTGTTGCTGTTGATACCAGGATGTAGACTAATAGACCGTAGCTTCGTCATCAAGACCAAAGAGCAACGCGCAGCTGAGAAAGCCCTTATGGCCAACTCCCCACTCAACACTCTCACGCTGGAAGATTTCCTCGAGTCGGAACGTCATAAGCTCACCGGAAAACTTACGCCCGTCACACCAGAAACGTTTGCTAAATGGAAGAAGGAGCGTATCGACAAGAAGCAGGCCGAAGAAGAGGCTAAGAGGCTCAAGGAGGCCACTGGTAGGGCTATGTTTGAAAAGGGTGATTGGGCTCAAGACAGCGACGAGGATAGCAGCGATGGTGAAGCCGACGACGAATGGAATCTGGAATCCATGAGGAGAGAGACGGAAGCCGCACGGCAAAGGAAGGAGGAGGAGCGCATTGCTGCCTCTATGGAGAACATGACCGTTTCTTGAATGCCATCGACCTATTCCGAGTCAGAGACTCGTCGAGGGGTTGAGAAAGGAAGAGGCGACGAGAGCCTGCCGGCTGCCACACAATGCTGAAAAAGCTTGCAGGGCAGGACGAGTATCCCTATGGCAAGAAACCGATGGGTTGTTCTTGTACACCTATCGCCGTAGCTTTGGGATGATCCTAAGCCTTGTCACTCCATGTGCAATACTGCCTAGAATGGCGGATCATCAGACTCAATTGGCTTTTGTGTCATTTGGCGCTGGCGTCTCGGTTTGTTGGGGGTTCAGATATCATTGTACGGGGTTACGAAATATAACTACGCTTGCATGAACACCATGCCATGTCGATCTACAAGATGCATCATTGCGATGGGAGTTTGTCGTAATGTTTTTGTAAAGGGAATTTGGAATATCTCACTAGCAGTCTCATATCGATTCGAGTATCTATCGTATGATATTGATCTCGCACATATCAAGCTAACGGCATGACTTCTGAGGGCGGTGAGTCTGTTCAAGATACTTATTCTCATATTTTGGACGAGTACTCTGAGGAATCATGTGAATGCTTACTCCATATCATACTGTTATATCTGCTAAGATGAAATCATTACATTACGCGTGCGTCCTGAAGACTACTCAACGAGATCTCCAGGCATGCATTGTTCTATCCAATGACGATGAGCGTAATGCTAGTGTACAGGGAATCATATGCTATTTTCGGACCGAGATGTATATCAACACGTTGTACATACAAACTCTACCAAGAGAAAAGTATGCCACGGATAGCAGAAACGGTAACTGAGATAATGAGATCGGAGAGTGGAGGGCGTTTCATGGTGTATTCCTTACCCTGGGGTAATGTGAGATCTCTAGTTGGTCACACGTAAATCGGTGTTTTGGACGAGTGATGAGGGCCGATGGTTCTACAAAGCTAGAACAGACAACTGACACATACGGAAAGTCCAGAGCACCTCAAGGGAAGTAGATACGGTAAGTAGAGGCGCCGAGTGGAGTCTGTTACTATGCGACCTGTCATCAAAGGATCACTCGCAGATTAGCCAAGTCCGAGGTTTGCGCGAGCAGCCCAAACCGCATGAAGCCGCGCTAGACACCAAAGGGGAAAGGCCGGCCGTATCCCTGGGACTCAATTGCCGCGCTTCTGTTCCGCCCACGTTTCTAGTCGTCCCCGCAGCATGACGGTACGCGTGCTCGGCCATGCTGCCGTGGAGTACCAAGTCCCAGATACTGGGGCTCTCTAGCATCCGATTTTATTGCCGGCCACCTTGCAATCCCGATATGCGTTGCCTTGAATGCCGTTGTGCACTAGCCCGGCTTGGAAATGGATGGCGTCGGTGTAAGGACAGAGCGAGCTTTCTTTAAAGAGCGCTGGACCGGCTACATTGGATGCTAACTATTTAGCCAGTATCCTCGCTATTCTCCCATCTGCTCTCTTTTTTGTGCACTTTTACATCCAGCTTCACTAGCAGTAGTATAGTCCTAGTGCAGGGGGCTTTCTTCTGATTCCCATCTTACATTGAGGCGGCATTCCACATCCTCTTATTTATACCGCCACGCTTTCAAACTTTCAAACTTACTGAAGGGGAAAAGAAGCCATGGTGGAGAACTACGACGTTGTTATTGTTGGTGCGGGGCCCGTCGGCCTTTGTCTCGGAACCTGCCTGGCAAGATGGGGTTACAAAGTCAAGCACATCGACAACAGGCCAGAACCTACCGCTACTGGTCGAGCAGACGGTATCCAGCCACGCTCGCTGGATCTTTTGAGGAACATGGGCCTCAAACGCAAGATTATGGAGTATGAGCCAGCAAAGGTGTACGAGGTCGCTTTCTGGGATCCAGCACAAAAGGGTATCCACAGGACAGGCACATGGGCTAGTTGCCCCAAGTTCATCGACGCACGATACCCTTTCACCACCTTGCTACACCAAGGTATGATTGAGCGGACTTTTATCGGGGACATCGAGAAGAACGGTGGCAAAATCCAAAGACCGTGGACGATTACCGGGTTCAAGAATGATGGCAAGGACAAGACATATCCTGTCGAGGTCCAACTCGCACATGTGGATGGCACAGCTCAAGAGACCGTTCGAGCAAAGTACCTCTTCAGCGGAGAGGGCGCGAGGAGTTTTGTCAGAGAGCAACTGGGTATCAACATGATCTACAAGGATCCCATTGCTCACGTCTGGGGAGTCATGGATGGCGTTGTCAGGACAAACTTCCCTGATATCAAGGTATGTGCTCTCAATTTTCTGCTGGCATCAATTCTCTCATATACTAACGGGATTCCAGATGAAATGCACAATCCACTCTGATGCTGGATCTATTATGATTATTCCCCGCGAGGACAACATGGTTCGTCTGTACATTCAAGTAGCATCCTCAACCGACAAGGACTGGAATCCCCGCAAGACTGCTACCGCAGAAGAGGTCCAGGCCCGCGCCATTGAGATTTTCAAGCCATACACCATCTCTTGGGATCGTGTAGAATGGTACTCTGTCTACCCCATTGGTCAAGGTATCGCTGAGCGTTACACTCTCGACGAGCGCGTATTCATGGGTGGTGACGCATGCCACACTCACAGCCCCAAGGCCGGTCAGGGCATGAACACCGCATTCCTCGACGCCGTCAACTTTGCCTGGAAGATCCACCACGTAGAGAGCGGCTGGGCACCACGCTCCCTTCTCTCCACCTACGAATCAGAACGCAAGCTCATCGCTGAAACCCTTCTCGACTTCGACGCCCGCTACGCCAAACTCTTCTCCACCCGCATCCCCTCAGCCGGTGAAGTGGCCGGCGCCTCCGCCAAAGAAGCCCCCGAAGACAACGAATTCATCAAGACCTTCAAGGCAAGCTGCGAATTCACCAGCGGCTACGGCGTAGCCTACAATCCCAACCTCGTCAACTGGGGCCCCGAGCACCCCGCACAGCACCCCCTCATCCTCTCCTACCCCCAAGGCACCACGCAGCGCACCGGCCGCATCCTCACCCCCGCAACCGTGACCCGCGTCGTCGACGCCAACGTTGTGCACCTGGAACAAGAAATCCCCTTCAACGGCTCCTACCGCATCTTCATCTTCGGCGGCACCCTCGCCAAATCCAGCACCGCCCTCAAAGACCTCGCCACAAACATGTCCTCCCCCAACTCCTTCTTCAACGCCTTCCTCCACCCAGACATCAAGGACAAGGACCGCTACCACGAGAAACACAACCCCCACTCGGACTTCTTCTCCCTCGCCCTCGTCTTCGCAGAGAAGCGCTCAAAGATCGAAATCGATGAGCAGTTGCCCCAGCCGTTTGCGAGATATGCCGATCATGTCTATGCGGATGATGTCTGGGATCAGCGTGTTCCCGATGCGAAAGCCGCCGCGCACGCTAAGATGGGTTTGGATCAGGAGACTGGAGGTGTCGTTGTCGTGCGACCTGATGGCTACGTCGGTGTTGTGGTGAAGCTTGAGGAGGGCAAGGGTACGTGTGAGGCGCTGAATGCATGGTTTGGAGTTGTTACTGGAAAGAAGTTGGGTGGTGAACGGGCGAGTTTGTAAAAAGAAAAGAAAAGGGATGATGATTGATTGGTTGGAACTTTTTTTTCCTGGGAAATAATGTTTGCATAGCGTATGGTTCCTTTTTTTTGTATACCTTTTCGAATAATGATGGTTGGATGACTAAACATGTTTTGGGTTGTGTGGATTGCCGCCCCCTCCTTTTTGTAGCAAGTGGTGTTGATAGGTTGCAAATGAGTAACCGTTAACTGCACAAAAATCAGACCATCACCCTGCTTTACTTCAGAACAAGAATCTCATCAAATATCGCCATACGTACCCCGAATCCCGTCAGTGACTCAAAATCCGCACATACGAATTTAGTTGCTGGAGCGATACTTGCATTCTCCTGTGTCGAAACAATTCCAAAAGGCAAAAAAAAAGTTGATATCAAAACTTCCAAAGTCTATGATTGCCAAACAAAAGGTCTATACACATATCTTGACGATATATAGCTTCTACTCCCCGTCTCCTCAAACCCGCCTCCATCTTCTAATTCACTACTCTCTTCATCTGCGCCGCCTGTCTCGGCTCGATAACCAGTGCCTCAGCCTCGGTCAGCACAACCCCATTCTTCTTCCCCTGGTCCCAATCCTCCGCCTTGGGCAGCGTCTCGAGCCGACCCTTTGTCCACGCTTTCCTGCCCTCAACCTTGGTCGTCTCAGCATGTACGACTACGATTTGACCTGCCATACAGGGTGCCTTGTAGTTTATTGTCAGGCTAGCTGTGACTCCGACTTTGTTGGGGAGCGCGGGGAAACAGCAGCGTACGAGGGCTTCGTCGAGAAGTGTGGCTAGGAGACCTCCGTGTACGATGCCTGGGTGTCCGCATAGTGCGCTGCCGAGGTATTGTATCGAAATATACTGCATGCCATCGGCTGTGTAGAATTGAAGGGGTGGTGAGGCAATCTTGTCGGGTCCGAGGAGTGTTCCACCGGTAAGATTCTGGGCGCGAAGTTGCTCGGGAATTTTGAGATGCGGGCGCACAGCAATGAATTTGGGGTCCGCGAGTAGGCTCTTGGTGAGCGGGTGCTCGAATATGCTCTTCTCGATCTCTGCGACTTCTTCGGTGGAGGGGTTGAAAAGTTCGAGTGTCTCGGCATCCGTCGGTGGGTTGGCGAGCTCCTGGAGGGATTGAACTGCGGGGGCGCCAGCCATGATGAAGCCGGTGGTGAAGGTGAGGAGTGTAAGCGCGAGGGCAACGGGTAAGCGTATGTAGAAAGGGCGTTTGGTCACAGGACTCGGGTTAGGAGAAGGTGGTGGGGTTGATTGAGCAGTATGCGATTGTTGGGGCAGCGATGCTACAAGAGTTGTTTAGTTAAGGGTCTACAGACTGCATATTTGTCATCGCAAAGGACAGGGTGATCAGACTTACCGATATCACTCTGTTGCCTTATCTGTCTCGAGACGTATGCCCACTTTGCCTGCGCGACAATTCCATCTTTTATACCAGGCCGGCCGACTTCGCGCCGCGCCAATGGCGGCCTACTACAGGTACCCCGACAGCGACCCACATGCCTAAATATGGCCGATCTTGCGGATAACATGGCTATTTCGTGCCCAGAAGCAGAGAATTTCCGGCCTAGTCGTTTGTTGCGATCTGAGTCGGTGAGCGTATGGCGATAGAAGGTTCCGCCCTCAGCTCGGACCTTCGGAATGATGTGCCTCGGTTCAGGGAAAGTCCGTGGTCATGCATCCTTTGTCAGGCAATTTCCTCTGTGGCTGGCCAAGACAATGGACAGAGCACTACTCGCCATGGTTGTTCAAGGCTCGGCCGATGACATGGTGAACAACCTGCTTTTTCCTTCGCTGAAAACCCCCTATTTTTTTGCGGGATGTCGTTGATGCCCATCTACACGCGTATTGTTGGAACTAATGGGGAAACTTCAAACTCCAGACATCACCTACGTCCATGGAAGCAATGCTCAGCACGAATTCATCTCATGCGTATCGATTTCGGGATTTTCCCCAC